TGATAAAGTCTAGCAGTTGATGAACTTTTTATTTTGGTAATTAAATATTTGTTAACTGTAAAATTAGTGAATAAATTATTTTAATATCTTTGTATAATATATTTATTTTATTTTCATATTTATTATTGTACTCGTATCAAATTTTAATAGGTTTTGTTTATTTTTTTAGTTCAATATTTTTAAATAATGTATTATAGCAATAAAATATAGTGAAAAAAAAAATTACAAAAAATGTAAAATTATAAATAGATTTTTATCACAAAATTGATTAATTAGATATTTAACTATCCCCTTGGCAGTTAAAGAATTCAATAAGAAACCAGATTTAAAAGTTTCTTAAACCCTAGCCATGTCAAATTAAAAGTTAACAATTTAATGATCAAACACATTTTAAGGTTTTTTTTTAATAATTATATATCTTTTGAAAACATTTTAGTGTAAAAAAAAGTATAATTCTGTGTAATTTATAATACCACGACATAAAAAAATTTATCTTCAATCATTTTTAAAAATTCTTATAAAATTATTAGTGAATTATTCAGATTTTTGAAATTATTTTTTAGCTACTATTCCTATATCAGTATAAAATGATTGGACATATGTTATACCAAAAATAATTGTAAGATATAAAATATATAAACTATAAATTATATTAATTGGATATTAAATAATCAATAATTAACTAATTTTAAATGTAGTTAGAATCAGATAAAAAATATATTAAAGTAATAAAATATAATTTCCATTCTTTATCGCCAATAAGAAAAATATCATCGGTTGGAACTGATAACTTCTAAGGATTTTATGTTTAGTTATAGAATAGCCCTGGGTAGGTTTATGGTACCCTAGGTTAAAATTGAGTTAGGTTAGAGTTTTATGAGAGAAGCTGCTCCTACTTAAAATCTAATCAAAATCAGATTCCCAGTGGTTTTTTTCTCTGTTCAAAAATCCTATTACCAGTAATCTAATTTTTGTATCTTTTTTTCATTATTCTACTTAACCTTAAAACAAATCAAAAATAAGTACCTGATTTTAAATCTATGCCCATATTATTATTATTTTTTTTTTTTTTTTTTATCGTAATAATTTATTAAGTTCGTTATCAACATTTGGAAAAAAATCTCAGGTTTATAAACATGTTAGATAATATTTAAATACTTAAAATAATAATATTGCTGACCATAAGTATATTACTAAGCAAACTAAAAGTACTAAAAGATAAGATCAATAAACTTAAACTTTAACCTTTGTTGATAAATTAAAATGTTCAATTTAAGTCAAATCATTTAAATTTTAGCTAATTTGCTCTATAAGTATTATTGTGATAAATACATGTTATAGAATAATTTTTCTTACACGTGTATAACAATAATTTGATTTAATTGTAGCCAAATGTAGTATAAATAATTGTGTTATATAGAACTGTTATATATTTTTATATTACATACAAATATTTTGACTTTATAATAGTGGTATTAATAGTTCAAGAATTTAACAATTATAAAAATAACATTTAAAAATAAATATTTGTTATCTTGATCGACTATTAAACTATTATTGTATATTATATGAATAAAAAATAAACATTTTTAAATAGGTTTAACACAACTTTTTAAAATAAACATATTAAAATATAGAAACTAATGAGAAGTATAAATGAAGATTGTTTTTGTGATCAATAAAAATAAAATTTATTTTTAAGTTTATTTTTGAGCTATTTCGACAATATTTATGATTTTTAACTCTGTAGTTGGTGACTACTTTGATTTGAAATAATAAAATATGTATATTATATACTTACATAATGACATAAATTACAATTATAAACTCAACAGTTGAACTATAAATTGGTTTTAGATAACTTATTTTTTTTCTTTCAGACTTCATAGATACTTATTTAAAATTTGACATATTATTATTATTTAAAGAGATACGTACATAGTTCTAAATTTTACAGCTTTTAATTTTTCTTCTTCGTTTTTTTTTTTATGCGTTCATTTTTTTAACAGTTATTTTATATAAGTATTTAAATTCAAAATATAAGTTAATGCAAACTAATTCAAGAAGACCCAAAAATTAGTTCAGTAAAACATTGATTATTTGTCTGTAACGGGACCGTGGATAATCGAATTAAACAGATAAAAGAAAAAATATATATTTATACTTATTATTTAAATTAAATTAAATAAAATAATTTGAAATAAATGAGTAATTTTTGTTTATAGATAAGATTTTATATTTTTAAGTAACATTGGACTTGAAAAATCAGCTTAATTTATTGTTTCTCGTAAAAAATTACACATTTTATGAAAATATCGTGTGCAGTTTGATGATTTTTGCATTGTAATGGCTCATCTTCTTCAGAAGTATTTTTATCTACTTCTTATTCTTCTTCTGTAATATTAGTGATAATTTCATCACCACTTAATATTATACAAATTTAACCATTCTTTAGAATTATAAATTTCTTCGTTTTTCAATCTTCTTTTTTTTTAAAGTTTAACTTTTTACATATTAATAAATACAGTGATGACTACATTAATAGCACTAAGTTTTTATCTTTTAATTGAAATTTTTCTAATACCATGACGTGATTTGAATTTGTGCAACCAAACTGTACTAGCTTTGAAATCAGGATTAACATTTAATTTCCTATTCATACTAAGTTTTTTTTCCATTATTATCAAACCTGTTAACTGTAAACATTGACTCCGTTGTTGCACAAACCACTGAAATAAAGTCTAATCTAAATGGTAATTGACAAAAAGGTTCTTACTTTTTTTTCTACTTGCATTCCCATCAGCTGTTTCAATTTGTTTTATGATGTCTTCAATTTTATTTGCATCCCGTATAGTGCCATACATAGTTCTGTCGTCCTTGAAATATTATAAATATTTACCAAATATGTTGCACTTACGGCTTTCCGTAATTTTTGAACTATTTTATACTTTATTTCTAAGTTAATGAGCACACGTTTTTATTTTTCGAACATTTTATTTCATGAAAAAAACACACCAGAGTATGACGAATGCAAAAAACAACTAAATACCGGTTGTATAGTGTATTAAGTATACGTACACGAAGGTATTTAATACATATAATATATTTATATACATTATACTTATTAAAATAAACTTATAATATCCTATTTATGATTATTATTATTATTTTATTGTCACGATGCCATTATGACGATGGCTGACAACGTAAAACAAAAGTTTATGGATGTAAGAGAGACGAATAATCGAGGTTTTACTGTATACAAACTTATATTCATTTAGCTCCTGGAAAATAGCATCCAACTTTTAATAATTATTTTGGAGCATTTGGTTTTCAAAATTCCAAATTGTTTTAAAACGTATAATATATGTGTGAATATTTTAAAATCTTTAAAATAGTTGTAATGTTACTTAAACTAAAGTTCACTTTTAGTTTTTTTCATTTAGCGATATTTTTCAAAATTTTTTCATTAAAGAAAAAACAAACTGCCATTAAACACAACAGCTAAATCAACTAACATCAGAAGATTTAGGTATACTAATATAATATTGGATTCGATCAATTTCCTGGATACAAGTAACATAGTATAAATTGAAAATATTTAACTTTCATTAATTAATGGTTGAATATTTATTATTTAAACTAGTTAAATTATGTATCAAAGTATTATCTTAATTTATTTTAAAATGTTTGTTTTATGTAATTATTCAAATAAAAAATACTTAAAAAGAAATATGATTGACATACGCCTGTTTTTAACTAAATTATTAATTAAGTATATTAAAAATGTTATAAATAATATCCAAAATTCCTTGCTAAAATAATTACCAAAAATAGCATATGCACATCTATTATTGTTATTAATAAGAAACCTTAAATCCATATTTGGTATTATATCCGGACAATCTATTTTTAGTGTAGTGCACTATAGTGCTTAAACCATATACGGACATAATCAAACTGTAATCCTAATTTATAAACAATCAGTTCTCCGTAATTGAGAAAAGATTAAAACCACTGATCTAGAATAATATTATATAGAACTAAAAATTTTTTTCTTCTATTCTAATTTTTATTTTTGTGAGAACCTCTTTTCCTCACAATATTTAAAATATTAAATTTTCCTGGATTGGAGAGACTACTATCTTATATACACTTAAAATACCATATATCCGATAACACCGGTAATATACAAGTACCGGATACTCTTATTGCAATTTAAAGTAACATTATCTCTATTTTAATATTAATAATATGTAATTTATCTTTTATTAGCGTCAAGTTTTGTATAAATTGAAATAAATCTAAGAATTATAATAAAAAAACAATTTAAAGGGGAAATTCATAAATGAAAGGAGAAAAATTAAAACATATTTTCCAGTATTACGTCAAAACGTATAAAAATAATACAAGTTGTATGTTTTGTATTGTTGTATATTTTTAATTACTAAAAAATAGAGTTCATATTTAAGAAAATTGATAATTCTTTCTATAAAAATTGATGTAATTCATAATACATAATATTTATCAAACTTCATAACTAACTAGCATTGGTTATAAAATAGGAGATATAGAAATTCCGTTTTCCTGAAAAATAACTTTTTCACGCTCTAAATTTACAGCCTTCAAATATAAAATTATTGAACTCCTTTAGTTTTATCAAAACATTTAAAATATTTTATATTCACTAAAATTTTCTATGTAGGTTATTGTCATATAAATATAAACTTAAAGAAGTTATATTTAGGTATTGGCCACTTACATTTTAATGAATAATATCAATTATTATAGCTGACATAAATAACAATGTGATTTGTTTAATATATAATATAATAATTAAAACAATTTGTTATTTTATTGGAGTTCTATTTATAAATATTAAAAATTACATTTTTAGTAATAATTCGAACAGTATTAAATTCTGTATATGTCTACAGAATTTGTCATTCTAATCGAAATACTATAAATAACTTTATTTAAATAATTTAAAATATTTTATAATGACAGCACGCACCTTTGAAAATATTGGTAAAAACCATGGAAAATACGACATGGACCGTATTGGTTTGTTTTCAGAGATGCCATATATGATTGGTGATAAATATCAGCCACTTATTATAAGTTTGTGCAGACATCATTTTTTAAAATCAATTTAACTTTAATATTTTTACCGTATAAAATTATGATTTATGATTTTCAGAAGACAATATACGAGATTTAAAAAAGTCACAAATGTATCCAAGTATTTTAAAAACTAAAACAGGTCTTCAAGACGCCTATTTTGATCCAAAATTTAAGAGATTGTTTGAAAATGAAAAATGGCAACCAAAATCTAAACTGTCTAATAATGAGTGATTAGTAATTTAGTGATTAGTTATTTAACAAATTTGTAATTTATTTTTTTCTTTCTAAAATAAAAGTTAAAATTTGAATTTGATAAGAAATCTCAAAAATTTTTAAGTTATTGATGATATAGACAATGGACATATTATTATGCACTAAGTTTAAAATATTTACTTTAGATTTTTTTTTCTAATACAATTTATTGAAAGTAAAAAAATCAAATACATTTGTTCTTTGTTATTATAAGTTAATTTATATAACATTAAAAAATACTATTTTTTAACATATAATAATTTCGCATTCATAATAAATAATAAAACTCACTAGTAAAATCGTATACCAATTTTGGCTTAAGAAGTATTATTCAATTGTAATTAATCATAAATATATACATAATTCAATTGCTTAATATTTTCAAGTTGTATTTATTTTTATCTATATTACTTATTATTTTGATTGGTGTTTAATTTGATTTTTTTTTTTAACTTAACAAGTGAAAAAAAGAAAAAAATTAGTACACAACCCTTTATACCTTCAGGTCCTACAAAACACCATTCAACTGCTGGTGATTATTTTGGAACATTTGGTCCTAAACTTCCAGGTTGTTTTAAAATATATAGCTTGCAAATAAAAATATAATTTTTTTCAAATGATTGTAATGTGTATCAAGACCAATGTTCGTTTTTAATTTTCTAATTTAGCAATGTCTAATCAAAAAAATCCTTCAATGAAAAAAGAAAAACTGCTACCAAACATCATAACTAAACCAACTAATACAAGAGGACCTGGATATACTGATATTGGACTTAGTCCATTCCCCGAATACAAGTAGTTTGTTTTAATTTTAGATTGATATGTTTATATATGTTTCAATATTTATGAATAATTTATTAATAAATTATTACTAAATTTATAAATAAACAATATGTGCATAAAAAAAAAAAAAATTATAATAATTATTAAATGCCAATAAATATTAATTTTCAGTTGTAAAAATATGTTAAGTGTCAATTTTTAAACAGTAAAGTAAAAACAACTTTCAAAAAACTATAAAAAAAAAAAAAAATTATGACTTGTTAATTTTCATTAACATAAACTTGTTTTATCAAAACACAATTTAATATCTTTCATAAATAAACTTAACATTCAAGCACCAATAAAACAAAAATGTAGTATGCGCAATAAATATTATCTTCTTTAGAAAAATATACGAAGATTCTAATATCATAAGAGGTATTTCTTCCTCATAAAGACAAAAATATTTGTCAACCTATTCAGAAATACATTATTCATTTTGATTTAATAATTATTATCATTATTTATAGTTACAGCATGTTTATACATAGATATATGAACATGTATTACATAAATTATGTTTAATAATTTATACAATAGAAATATAATAAATTAATAATTATGTAGTTTATGAATCACTAATAATTTTACTCAGACTATTTTAACTATTTTATATGCTTTTATATAGTTTAGAATTTAGATGGTATTAATTTGCTTAAAATTTTAAGAAATTAACTATAAAAAATATAACTTCATATTAACTTGTAGATCAAGTCCATATAATGACGTGAAAAAGTATAATAAAAATGATAAATTGAACAAAATACCACCATTTTTAATGGGTGGTCCAGGTAACTTCTTTGAAAAAAATCCTTATTTCATTAATGATCAAAAGTCAACGTATATTATGATTTCAAAATCTAAATTTAAGGGTTTACCATTTGTACCATCTTCAGCAATAAAAAATGTAAGTATGATTTTACGCTTATTAAATTATGTTATTTTAAACTTTTTTTTTTTTATATTAATTCATTATTAATTATATTATTAATTTGTAGGATTATATTTTTTAAACTTCGATTTTAATAATTGTTATACATTTTAAAGCGTATTTAATTATTTATATGTTATGAGTATTTGTATAGAATATTACTAACAGTACAAAAATCAAGTTTCGTATGTGACTTTCTTATTTAACAAGGTTTATTAAGTAACCTATGTTGACGATTATCTATATTATCTAGGTATCTATGCTTGTTTATCTTTATAATCGTATCATATATTCTTTGGTTTTGAGGCATTTTACAGATTACCAATCTATTAATTGGCAAGTTACATTTTTTTTAAAAACTTTTTAAGTGTTAGAGTGATATAAAAAAAAGCGTATAGATTAACATAATTAATAGAAAAATAATTTTATAACATAATTTATTTTTTTTCGCTGATATTTTATTGAATGACTTAGAAAACAATTTTTTATCTGTAATAGTAAAATAATGTAATTTTATAATTTATAATTAAAAAAAAAATTATGATTAATTATTGTTTCGGTAGTTCACATACTAAAAAAATACCATGTTAAATTATATTTTAGATACCTATAATTTGATTTAGATACATAAAAAATACATTAACCATTCAGATTTCTATAACGTAGATAGTAAATACAACTTAGAACCATTTCATTCATACTTTTTCAGATATTTATTGCTTGCACATTTTATATTCTAAAAAAAATTGTTTGATTTTAATTTTGATTAACTTTTAAAAAACTATTTCAAATATAATTAAGTATTAACTTTTTTTTTCAGTTTGGAAATGGTTTTGATAAGTGGCCCAATCATTCCGACGATCGATATATCGATCCGTATAGAATAGGATATAAAGACAAAAAAGACAAAAAAGATGATCGTTCAATTATCACATTTTATCCACAAACTAGAAACAAATCATTGTATACTACATCAACAATTCAGCGAAAATTAAAAATTTCTATGAACAATCATAACTGGCGTACATATGATACCGTTACATACCCTATAGAAACAAGTATTAGAAAATAATAAGCAATTTAATAATGACAAATTTATTATTATTTTTTTTTATTTTTTATCTTTTAATAAACATTTTTATCGACCAATATAGCTACTATATTTAATTATTAAATTTAAAAAAACGTATAAAAAAAAATAAAAAAAATATTATTATCAACATAATAGTAAATATGCTGCGCTATCTAGTAGTGGAGTGAAAGTTACAATGCTTTTAAAATTCCACTATATTTCCACCTTAGTTAAATCTTGTACAATTTAACTTAAATATTAAAAATATGACTGAAAAATAAAGAAATATTGTAAACAACTTTTTCTAGACATTTTGGGGCTTAAATTATATTGCAGAATATTTCAAGGATTAAACACAAATTTAACACGAAATCCTGTAATAATATTTATTAAGATTTGTATATTTTGTATACGTATTCCTGTTGAGTTTTACCAAACTCCTTGTATATATTGCAGACAACTATTGATGTCTACTAAAAATATGTAATCTGATTTAAATATGATATAGAATTCTTTTTTCATGACTAGTATAGTATAACATAATCAATATTTAATTTTAAGTAGGCAGGTATAGGTACTTATAAATTAAATCAATACAAGGATACCTACTCTTAATTTAATTTAATTTATTTATTTATTATTATTTTTTTTTTTTTTTTGTAGATGTAATTAGTATTGAAAATATGTCATAATGTTTCTTTTTATAACAATATATTACTTTTTTATAGTATTTTTTTTTTGTAAATAAACTAATTTATATTGAATTATAACTTAATAACAACATTTAACTTTTAAAAAAATATTCCATTGTTTCCATACTTCTAGCATAATAATAAATTACTAACAATTTCATAATTTATCCTTAGAAATTAGATTCTACAATAAAGTTATAAATTTAAATTTATTTTTAGAAAGCATCTACATTATTGAGCCTGAGTCTGTCTTCACAAAGAAAACTTCATTATTTTGTAGCATTCATTAAATTATTTTACAGTGTTAGTGATGAGAAATACTGTAAAACTACTTTCATAAGATTTACACAGCAGACAATTTTCTCAGAATTCAGATATTACAGAGGTGTTTTTTTCTCGTGTCTGAAGGTACTTTTATTAGAGGAAAAAATTATGCTGGATATCAAAGTGGCTTCTGTTAAAAAAATAGATTTATTTTGAAACTTGGAAAGAGTAATAAGTTAAAATAAAATAAATTTGCTAAAATTATGCGGAAAAACTGGAAAAATATGCAATACAAAATGTTGACAAAATATATTATCAAAAGAAAATGATATTTGAAATTTTCAATAGGTATATATTAAAATAATAGTGAATCAAGTATGGTATAATTTTTAAAATACTTGCCATTTTAAACTTTAAGATTCTGAGTAAATGATTGAAATAATATTTGTTTTACATTGATGTGTATTTTATTTATGTGTCTTACGATATCTGTCTTAATTAAAATAATATTTTGATCTTCAACATCGAGAGTGGTTTCTGGTTGAAAAAAAACTGTTTTTGGAAAAAATTAGTGTTAACTTACCAGATTATTATTTTATTAATAGAAAACTAAACTACTACTATAAAATAAAATATAATTTAATAGACTGTTTTTAATAAATAAAAATCGTCTTGCATATGCATAATTAATCATTTAATTTAATGCAATACATCAATTATAATTTGTCATTTATTATTGAGAATGTTTTTAATACTTGTAATTTCTTCATATTTGAATATGAATTACTAGATACTAAATATACATTTGTTTTATTTGTATTAAGGGTAGTATCAATGTAATTACTTAAGTGTTAACTTTTGATTAACTTTAATAATTACACATTAGATAGTTATTTACACGTGTACAACACGAATGAAATATAAAAATACACATAATACATAATAATATGTTGTTGATTTCTCTTATTTTTTTATTTTTGATAAAATTACGGTTATTTCGATTTGAAATAAACAAATAATGAATACTGTCAAACAGTAAAAAATAAATAAACAATTATTACCTATAGTATTAAAAAACACAAGTGAATGTGTACAACTTGAAAGCATTTTAAAATCATGGTAGTTAATTTATGTAAAAAAATCGAACATTTCACGATTCACAAACCATATTTGAAACCCATTAAATCATAAAATCTTTATACAAGTAAAACAATTTCAATTGTGCATATATGATATTACATATTCATCATCATCCCACGTTAATCGGTCCCTTTCATTTAATATAGGCATATATTTTGACAGGAATCAGAAATCGGTAAAGCTTTTTCTGCGATTATCTTCATGATTTGGTTGGTTATTGAATGTCACTGGTCTATAAAATATTGTATTGCCTTGTTTCCAACCTCTGGGTGCAGTGTTATAGTTACTCAATGACAAATAGTCTTTGTATGATGGTAACTGAACGTTTTTTGGCGGATCCAAAAACGCAGGATCTATAGTGAAAAAAAATACAATAATTATAATATTATTTAAAAAATGCACATTAAAATTGTATGATTAAACAAATTTAATTTAAATAAAAAATGCCAAATTCCATATATATATATTATATGGGTAATCAAATGAATTCAATTCTTTAAATTTCAATAAAATTACTATAAGGCATAAAACAAAAATCAATTATTTAATATTTAAATTCATATTTGAATGTTGTTAAATTTCTCATTGACAAGCCATGAATTTAGTATTATGTTTTATTTGTTCTATAATTTTATGGATTCCAAATTCAAAACTGACTTATTTCACATTTTTTAAATAATAATTAATAATATAATTGTTTTTTTATTCTACTAATTATATATTTATTACTCAGATGATACTATTTTAATTTAAAAATAAGTATACGAGTGGGAATTGAATACAAAAAATTATAATCAAAAATACGTGCATATTTTTAAGAATTAAATTAATCAAATGTCTTTTTTAGTTTTGTTATTATATTTTTGAATTACCCTATGATGATAAATATTTAATATTTATGCCTATTGCTATTTAATCCACGTACACTTGATTAAATTATTGGAAAAAATATACTTAAAATATTTGTTTTATTTTAATTCAATAACTTTAAGATTATATCAAACGGTGGTTTCTGTAATAGGTGAACATGCGTATAACGTAAAGGGCATTTAATTGCGTAGGTAGGTGATTAATTGACGATTTCCAAGAACGTGCAAAAATCAAACATTCGAATATTTATCTTGCCTGTCGTTTTACGTGGTGCATTATAAACAGTATTATTGTACTCTTGATGGCGTTCATCCCGTGAGCTCTGTTTTTGAGCAAACAACATACTAGACTCTAGACTATCCGGAGTAGCTAATTGCCTAATGGTCTGAAATTTCATATCACCCCTCACTTCAAATGATAACGAAACATCATCAGTATACTCAGATCTATCACCATATTCAGACCTATCAGTGATTCCCGATTTATCTGCATATTCTGATCTATCGCCATACTCTGACTTATAGTTGATTTCAGACTGATCGGCGTATTCGGATCTATTGTCATATTCAGACTTATCATTTTTTCCTGTTTGATCTAGAAATTCAGGCATATTACTATATTGAAACGTACTATTTACGTCAGATTTATCGACATAAGATTCAGACTTCTCAAAGTGTTCTTTAGATTTAACTTCATCGGCGCAGCCATGTCGTTCATCATTACTTCCATACACGAAACTTCTCGTTTCAACTGCTGTATTGGCTGTATAAAATCCATTTTTTTCACCAACATTAGGTGACTCATGTTCGTTTGATAAATTACTATCAATAGATTCTGGTTTCGGATCATCGTGCAAATGTTTTATCTCTTCGCTTAACGGTATTCTTTCTTCTAGCTGTAAATACCGCATAACAGGCCTATTATTATGCTCGAATGTGTCTATAAGCGTTTTAACAGGTAATGACCTTTCTTGTATTATAGTGTTTGGTGTTTTTTCCCGTTTAGTTCCAACGAAGCTACTCGGTGACTTGAGTGAACATCTACTTTCAGCGCGGTGTGGTTCAGTGTAAGCATTTATATTAGGCATATATTCTTCATACGTCTTATGTGATTTAGGAACAAAAACTTGGTAATTATTATACTTTGGCTTTTCGTTTTCTTTTATTTGTAATTCAATTTTTTGTTTTTCATTTTCATTTTGCGAAAGGGGCTGTATTTCATTTGTTTGTGAAAGAAGCTGTATATCATTTGTTTGCGAAAGCGGCTGTATTTCATTTATTTTTTCTTCTGTAACACTTTCTGATTTATGGGTTCCATTCATTTGATCTAAACCCGGAGTTGATCTTGGTGTAAATTCAACTTTATGAAATTTTGGTTCATCATAGTAACCATGATAAGTTGCTGAAGGTTTCGGTACTGGAGTCAAAGTAAGTGAATTGTCTTTGTCGATTGTAAAAGTTGTGTAAGATAAATTTTCAGACACTTTAGGAGTAAGACCTGTTGAGCAGATTGAAGCCTTATTTAATAAACTAACTGGAGAATTTGGGGTACCACGAAAAATCTGATCCAGTTTAACTGAGCCTATATAAGCAGCAAAACATTAACTTAAAAATTATCAATTATTTACATGATTTACATACCATAAGTTGGAGGCTGTTGTCTGTTACATTGTGTATTCCAACCTCTAGGTATCTTAGGCATATATATATCTTGATAATTTTTTGGTGTTGCAGTTCTTGTTGGTGTTGAACAAACAGTTGCTCTTGATGTTCTTCCGCCATCTTTTAGTGCTTCTAAAGCACTTGAAGTTGGAGCAACAATATATCCTCGTGGTGGAAAATTTGGAGTCATTTCTTGAAAAGCTGACTCAACAGATCCTGTTTCCAAAGCTGCCTCCCATGGAGATTTAATCAATCTTAAACGAGGTTGAGTAAATCTTTGCTAAAAATATATAGACTCAAATATTTTTATAACTATATAAATAATTTTTTATAATATTTTACTAGAATACAATATAAGAACATCTTAATATGA